TGCCTCACTGCTCCAGGGTGCTGGGTCCTAGAAATGATGGAGGATTACCATAACAAATAGTGGACTCCCAACTCCCTTTCCCTTGCTTTTTGGTTTACCCCCCATTCTGACCTCCACCCTGCTGCTCCACACAAGAAATTAGAGGACTGCTCTAAAAGAGTGATAAAGAAACTCAAACAGAAGCCTTGCAACAACTGGTAGTTTGAAGTTTTTACCCAATACCATGTCAAAGTTCCCATCTGGTAACTCTAAACTGCAGTCCACATATAAGCAAGTGCCCTCACAACTTAGGACTTCACTGCCCTCTCTTACATGTGAATCAGCAGAGAGGAACTAGAAATGCAAAGACCACCCCTGACAAAGAAAGAATAACCTATTAACCAAATAACCTATTTTCAATACTCCCAGAGAGCTAGGATACACTGAACTGTTTAAAACAAACAAACAAACCATAAAGAAGAATATTGAGAGATAAAAAAGGCTCTTGAAAATTAAAAATATGATTAAAAGAGTTTAAAAAGGATATGTTTAAACAACAGAAACCCCCTCCAAAGTTAGGAGAGTCAGGCAAGCAGGCAGGTGCGCGAGCGTGTGCGCACACATACACACACACACACACACACACACACACACACACACACACAAATGGGGGGGGAGGGAGGGAGAGAGAGAGAGAGAGAGAGAGAGAGAGAGAGAGAGAGAGAGAGAGAGAGAGAGAGAGAATTATCAAAGAAAACAAGAAAATGTCCTACTGAAGAGTATGGAACTTCAGATTGCAAGTATTCTGAGTATTCAGACAATGAATGAGGATGGACCTCACCAAAGCACATCCTAAGGGCACTTGGAACACTGGTGAGGAGGAGATGGAGGTCTATGTTTCTTTAATAACAAAGGACTGCACTGGGAATAGAAGACAGTAGAGAACATTTTTGAAATGTGCAGTAAAAATGATTTCTGATCTAGAATTCTTCCCAAAGAGCCACTAGTAATCCATAATCGTGAACAATCTCCGTAAAAATGAAGGAGTAGCTGGGTGGTGGTGGCACACCTTTAATCCCAGCCCTCGGGAGGCAGAGGCAGGCAGATCTGTGAGTTCGAGATCAGCCTGGTCTACAGAGCTAGAGATCCAGGACAGGCACCAAAACTACACAGAGAAACCCTGTCTTGAAAAACAAAACAAAACAAAAAACAAAAAACAAAAAAACAAACAAAAAAGAAGTAAATTGATGACAGGCAAATGGGATCCAAGGAAAAGGAATAAACTGGCAGAGAGAACTAGGCAAATGGAAAGAGGGACTGGCCAAGTCAATGCCACCAAGACTATACTGTCTGGCTGAACTAGGGTAGTATTTATATGGTGTCAGTAATGCATACCGCAAATACCCATTTGACACAGGGGATACTGTAATGAGAGCATATGTAGGATTGTTTTTATTTGGGGAAATGGTGTATACAGACTTGTATTAAAGTCCATCACTGTGATACAGGGCTGTCAGAACAGGAGTTTTTCTTGAATTCACTATGAATTCCTGTATCTAAGACAATGGCCTACACATTGTAGGTCCTCAGCAAATGTGCATTGACTGATGGAAACCTGATATGGAATATTCATTTTAGGAAATTTGTTACACGAACAGCTAACTAAGATACTGTATTAGTTATTCTTCCTGTTGCCATGACAAAAAGCCACTTAAGAGAGGAGGTTTATTATGGCTTACATTTTAATGGGTGTTTATCTTCATGGAAAAGTAGGCGGCAGTAGATGCTTGAGGCATCTGGTTACATTGCATCCAGTCAGGAAGCAGAGAGGGATGAATGCACTTCCTGCTCTGCTGGCTTTCTGCTCCCTTTGAGGACCTGGGACCCAGAGCCTGAAATGTACAAGGTGGGCTTTCGCTGTCAATCACTGTAATCTAGAACACTCCCTCACAGATACACCAGAAGCTTGTTTTCATGGTGACTCTAAACCCCATCAGGTTGACAGTCCAGACTAACCATCACAGATACATTTTCAAAACTCCCAAAGCCAGACAGCACAAAGTTGTACCAAGCTTTTCCACAGTTTAAAACTAATGATTTGGGAAATATTTAAGCTCACGCCAAAATATCGAAGGTTTTTTCTTTCTTTTTTTTCTTTTTTTTTTTAGCCCGATGTGTTCCTAGGAAAGTATTCTTTATGCTAGTTAGGTTGATGGGCGACAACTTGAGCTCAGGCCAGTTCCAGGGAAATCAAGATGCAATTTCCTCCATTTAGAAAGCAAATTACCGTATTGACTTTTCTTCTTGTTCATTCACTAATATGATTCCAAGCTGGGTTGAGAGAAAATGCCTTGTTTTGTATTTCAAGCTGTGGACTGTCCTGAGGAGAAGCCTTTAGTACTTCCTCTGGCAATAGACTCCAGAAAGTTTCTTCAGTACACCCATTTCTCTTATTAAACAAAAAGGTGTATGTCTTTGGTTCAGCAATGTATGCTTCTGCCTAATGGCCCTGAATGGGGTCTACAACCCAGTTTAATTTGCCTATGAATTCATTGATTCTAGTCTAATGACCTCTAGAAGTGTTCACTGGTTCACTCTTTCTGACTTCACAATTTGTTCTGTATATACTATGCACCATTTAGTAGGGGAAAGAAAAAAAAAACAGGTCAAATAATTCTGGGTGCACAGAGGTAAAATAACCAACCGTTCTTGTGGGTCTCCCAAGAAGATAACCAACTTGCTGAACTGGCCATACTTATTTTTGTGGTGGCGGGTAGGGGGTGGGGGGTTGGTCAGGAATGTTGGAAACCTGTACAGAAACTATTGCATATTCCATCCTGGTTAGTCAGTACCAGGCTGGGCATTGTGTGTAGAGCATGTGTATATCTGGGGAATGTACTCTGGCTGCTCTCTGTCTGTCTCAACACTTCTGAAGAGTCCTGGTGTTGTAGATCTTGTCTTTGGAGACTATGTGGGTTTCCCAGTCTAATCTCAAAGGCTCCATGTTCCTCCAAATAAATATTTTGGAGGCTTCTCAGGAGACTGATCAGGATTCCTGATATAATCCTCTACTTGCTTTCTTGTTCCTCATGCATGTTACTGATGATCCAGACCAGGCTGGAGAGCTGGGGGTGGGAGTGTCTTCATCCAGTCTCTCCTGCAATGATGGCCCAGTGCCCTGTGGAGAATGATGCTGCCTGGAATTACTGGACCACAAGACCACAAGAACAGTGGCAGTAGTATGGGGACTGGTGGTGCAGGATACAGATGCTCTTCACCTCACAAACTTACCTTTCCAGTCCACAACCACTCCCCAGGCCCAGAACCCAGAAGAGGGGCACAGATGTCACCTTATTATTTTCAGGACTTTGGGAGAGAAGGCCCCCAAATAAAGGCCATATCCATGATTCTCCTTTCATACAGAAGTGAACGCCACGATATGGATGCAGGGGCCTTGCTTTCATGAAGAAAATCCTTTAGAGAGCATTGGTGGGGTTCCCTGCATGGGCATTCATTACAAAGCCATCCTGTGCCTCTGCTGGCTGCAACTTTGATCTACATATATATAGCTTCACTAGTCCCTGGGGGAACTGCCTCCCATTCTGGCTCATTGCATTGCTCATGAGGATTGGAGGCCAGTGGGAGGTTCCCAGTTGGGGCTTTTTCTTGGAGGAGGGTGTTGTCATCTGTCCTTGCTCCAACAAATAGGACCTGATACAGGAAAATGACTCAGAGGACATGGACAAACATACCCCAAGTTCCTCTTTGATTCCCAGAAACTGAACACCAGGTGTGGACTTCCACAAGCCTCAGGCATCGCCTTCTACACATTGCTGGAATCCCCCCTTCTCCCTGGGCACTTGGGGGATCCTCGTGCGTCAATCAAGCTATGGCAGGGGAAAGCCGGAAGCCTTGGGAGTAGGTGGTATTTCTCTTTCGAGTAACTTCGAACACAGGTTTATCTTCTCCACGCACCTGAGAACAGGGAGAAGGGGCAATGTGGACTCACAAAACTGAGCTTAGGAAAAGAGGAGATGCTTAGTCCCTTTGCGTGGGTGTGCGTCGATCGATGTCGATGGCTGTCGTAGAGTGGCGATGTGTCTGTTACGGTGTGCACATAATTCATGCCTGTTTCTCAGAGCAGAAGCGTGGGGGTTGTTTTTGGGCAGAGCTCAGTTGATTTGGGTTATGCTCGCACAGCCTTCTGCTGGAGGCAAGAGAATCTGAGCACTCCTCAGTGGCCGTGTTAATGCCAAAGGCACCTGCAGTCCTGGCCAGCAGATGAGCGAGTGTGAAAGTCCCCTAGAGACCCCTGGTTTGCAGCGCCGGCTCAAGTGGTGGGTGCAGGACCCTGGCTCAGCAGTCAGTCTCTGCAGAGTAGGGCGGTGGAGATGCGGGGAGGGCAAGGGAGCGGAGACCCGGGCACTAGTAGCGCCAACCCCACAGCTTGGCAAAGCCGCCAGAGGCGCTGGGAAGTGCGTTAACCTACATCACAGTGGCAGTATGAGGTCCTGGGTTTGGATGGGGGAGACAAAAACCACAGTGCAGGATTTGGAGGGTCTGGCGTGGGAAGAGAATGTCCCTTATGTTAGCCTGTTAGCCTGCTCCCCTATACTCTCTAGTTTCCACCACGTTTAGGCTAGCGATGCGAAGAACTGTAAAGTGCCGGTTGGGGACAGGCACGCCAGAAGTCCCCTAATGGATCCTAGGACCCGCTCCTTCCCGAGCAGTCACCTTCCTGGCTGTATCTAACTGAAGTCCTTTTAGAACCCAGGACTGAGGCTCACCCTGCTGGAGTCCAGCCAGGAGGTTCAAGCCCCCACTGGAGGGGGCAGGGAAAGGTTGTAGGCTCGAGTTCAGGCGTTAAAGAGATCTTGACGCCAAACTCTCTCCAGTTTGCTCACACATTCTGGGAGAATCCGTTCTCCCTCAGTCTCCTTACCCCACCCCCACCCTGTTCCTCAGCAATGACCTCAAGGCAAAGACAGGGAGTGGACTCTTGCTTCCTTGCCGCAGGAGTGCAGCTATGACGGAAGTCGCTCTGGAAGCTCGGTCAGAGCTCTGATTGGCCGAGAGATCTAATGAGGACCCCCCCACCCCCAAGACCAGAGAATAAGAGACCAGGACTCTGGGGACAGCCGTGTGGTGTGTGCTCTTCTCCAGTGGACGCTTCTCTCTCGTTGTGCCAACGCTCGGGTAACCAGGTGAGGAACTAACTTTTCAACTCATTCAGCTCACTCTCCATTAGTTTGTCTACTTTGTTGTTGTTTTTGATGCAATGTTTCACACTGTAGTAATTCAGGCTGGCCTGGAACTCACTGTATAGCTCTGGTTGGTCTTGAACCAACGATCTTTTCTCAGCATCCCAAGGATGCAGATTACAGGCGCACGCCACTACATGACCAGCTTGACTTGGCTCCCTGTGCTGGCCAGGCTCTTTACTCCATATCCGTTTCTGCCTTCCTGCAGCCTGGGATCAGTCAGAAAGTGCGGTCGTGGCTTTTTCTCTTAACTAGGATGGGTGGTACTCTAGAGCACACCGGTAGGAGTACAAAGCCCCTCTGGAAGCTGGACGACCCCACCTAGGCGCGTCTGTGGCTCCTCCTTGGGGTTAGGTGGTCTTGCTGCACCCTATCCAATCTTGATATGAGAGGTCCTTGGATCTAGGGCTGGGGAGCACCCATCTTTTCTCTCAGATGTTTCCAGCCTTTAGCGCCCGGGGTCATCAGCAAGCATCTAGGGTGTACCGTGGAGAGGAGTCCAGCATCAGGTGTTAAACAGCACTTCTGCTGTTCTGAGACAGTTTAACTGGGACTCGAAAAAATTCTCTCAGTTCTGCAGCTGGAGAGAGATTATCTCTTTCCAAGATACCTTTCCAGCGTCCCCAGGGCAACTGCTCAGAAAAGGTGGTTCTAAAAATTTCAGCCTGTGAGAAATCCAAAGCAGCGGTACAGCAAATCTACTTCAGGGAGCTCTGGGTGGTTCTTGCTTTCTTCACAGAGGAGAGCAAAAAGGGCATTGGCAGACGTGCGCTGCTGCAAGCTGGGGCGAATGAGTGCCTGTAGCCCCTCCTCCGAACTCAGACCAGAGAATGCAAACCACATCTACCCTCCCCCACTCATTTCTGCTTTATTAAGCCACTCACTAAACTGTAGCTTTGGAGACCCCCAATAGCCCTCTGGCAAACAATGGAACAGTGGTGGGGGAGGTGACGGAAAAGTTAGCAGGGCACTTGTGGCAGGGGCAGGACTAGAACCTGGGTCTATGGTCCTCGTGCAGTGGACCATTCTTCTCTTTTTACAGAGACACCATGGGCTTCTGGAAGTTCTTTCCCTTTCTGGCTCTCAGCAGCGTGTGGATCCTGTGCCTGGCCAGCAGCCTCCAGGCAGCACCTCTCGGGTAAATTAGCTTGAATCAGGAGTGCAGTTTGACACTCCTCCTACTGCTGGGGGATCTTGTCACCCCTGTGGCTCCAAAGCCCCTACTTGGTTATTGGTAAATCAGCGCCCTCTTGTGGGCACTGGCCTCCTGACCTGAGCTCTAAGCCCCTAGGGAAGAAGCAGGGGAAGAATCAGGAAGCTTGGCTGCTTATTTGGGGGGTGGGGTGGGGTGGGGGTGGGGGAACGGAGGGAATGAGAATCTGTCCTAGGTTTTCTACCTTTACAGGTCAGCCTTGGAGAGCAACCTAGACCTGGCTACCCTCAGCGAACAGGAAAAGCGCTTTCTGCTGGCTGCACTGGTGCAGAACTACTACGAGCTGATGAAGGCCCGGAAGCTGGAGCAGGAGGAGCAGGAGACTGAGAGCTCCAGGTAAGGCTCCTCCTCACCTGGCCCCCATAAGTTCAGGAGGAACTATTCCAGAGGGTACAGAGACACTGCCCGAAGTCCAAGGAATTAATTAACCGTTCCCAGCCTCCATAGATGACAGAGGTTCCGGTGCCACCAGAGGGACTCATACCGGTTAGACACGTTAAAATTTTGTTTTCTCCTGAAAACTCTTGGGAAAGGAAATGAGGAGATGTAGAATCGCTGACTGTGGGAGTTGGACATGAGTCTATGGGGATGCATCACTGCACGGGCTGAAGTAGGGCAGGTGAGTGTGATGCCAGAGGATAGACTAGAATGGCAGGAAGTTCCAGGAGCTTCAGGATTTGTTCTTTCACACTGGCAAGGAGCCATCATTTTACATTCACAAGGAGAAGGTGTAAGGGTACGAGGGGTCTGGGACAGGCGGAACAGTGTCTGAGGTAGGTCCAGAGCATCTTTAGAGGTGTGCATGTTGTTACAGATGCTGCCTGTGTGCCCCATGCCTGGAAACAGACCAACCCTGGTACGGCTTCAGCACTCCCCAAGGAAAAGCATGTTTTGACCTGCATCCCCCTTGAGAAATCCCTGATAGCATGAAAGACTGACATGGAATGCCAGAAAGAGTCACCCTTTTCCTCGGCCCTTCCCGGCACAGTCCTGGCCCACCGCACCCCGAAGCCTTCCCAATGGAGTCTGTGTGAACTGACCTCCTACCACCCTCTGTCCCAACTTCTAGTCCTCTGACTGGTTTAACTTTCTGACTGCCCATGGGATCAGCTCCTGGTGGTATGGGAATCTAAATACACGAGTTCTGGGCATGTAAGTAGAGGAGCTGAACAGCTTTCCCACCTTCTCTGCTATGGAATTCGGGCTTGAAACTCCGACAAGAAAAGAACACAGCAGGTCACTTGCAGAGGGGCCTGAAGTATCCAGGATGCCACCAAGCCCTTCTGTGTCCTTCCTGGTTTCCTCTCTGGCTCCTGCTTTCTCACTTGCTGCATGAGCATTTCTCTCTGGGTTTGAAACTGGCAACAGCAGCTTCCCATGTGACCAAGAATGTCAGTGACTCGGGATAGGAAGGGAGAGAACAGAAGTCATAGGCCACCTTTGAGGTAAGAGACAGTGAGGGAATCTTCTAGAACATTTAGAGAACTGTTGACTTCCTGCTTCTGAATACCCAAATAAGCACATCCCTTCCATTTCACTCATTTTTTTTTTTTCCTGGAAGAATCAGAGTTGTAGTGATCATTGCTTTGGTCCACTTCTGAAGCTTGGGAGTGGCCAGGACCTAGGAAAGAGCTTTAGCTTCAGGTGAGCTGGGCACAGGGCTTGATGGGCCATCTCTGTGTGCAGCTATGGCAACAAGCAGCATGCTAAGGACCAGATAAGGGCTTCTGAGACGATGCTGCCAATGCTGTTCTTAGCTTCAGCAAGGTAAGTTTTTTTATTATTATTATTATTATTTTATTTTTTGGTGATGGTTTGGGGAATAGTTTCTAGCAAAGACTCTCGGGTCATTTTCCTGAACAACTTTGGTAAATGCACTTAGGAAAAACATTTCCTGTTAAGTGGTATGTTTAAAGGATGGAGTTCTCAGGGGGTAGGCTCCTCCCCAGCCCTCACTAACAAGACTTATCTTCTTTTTTCATCCTGAATATCAGCATCACTGCCCAGAAGAGATCCTGCAACACTGCCACTTGTGTGACCCACCGGCTAGCAGGCTTGCTGAGCAGGTCAGGGGGTGTGGTGAAAGACAACTTCGTGCCCACCAATGTGGGTTCTAAAGCCTTTGGCCGGCGCCGCAGGGACCTTCAGGACTGAGTAGCTAATGACCCCCGAGAAGAAGGTGATTTTGTACTCTGGGTTGGGAGAGGAAGGATTTGGGAGCTAAGAGTCACAATGTGAAGCCCACAGAGAGTGGTAGGGCCTTCAGGTCCCCTGTCTATCGATAGTACTAGTCTTCTTCCTGAGGTAATGAGTTCCTTCTTAAACTGAGCTTGAAATTGAAATCAGAATGGCAGGAGAGGTCACAGGGAAGCAGTGCCTCGTTGCCAAGGAAAGAAAGGAAGAGAAATGCTGTCTGGATTTGGAAAGGGAAAGGCCTGCAGACCTTACCTGTGTTCCCCAGTTCAGATCAGAGGACTATGAGCATACCACTACCAATAGTTCAGATTGGAGGGGTGTGAGCACACCACTACCAGCAATTCAGATCGGAGGGCTGTGAGCACACCACTACCAGCAGTTCAGATCAGAGGGTTGTGAGCACACCACTACCAGCAGTTCAGATTGGAGGGTTGTGAGCACACCACTACCAGCAGTTCAGATCGGAGGGTTGTGAGCACACCACTACCAGCAGTTCAGATTGGAGGGCTGTGAGCACACCACTACCAGCAGTTCAGATTGGAGGGCTGTGAGCACACCACTACCAGCAGTTCAGATTGGAGGGCTGTGAGCACACCACTACCAGCAGTTCAGATCAGAGGGCTGTGAGAACACCACTACCAGCAGTTCAGATTGGAGGGCTATGAGCACACCACTACCAGCAGTTCAGATCAGAGGGCTGTGAGAACCCCCTACCAGCATCTTTAGTGTCTTTTCTGTTTTTGAGAAAGTTTCAAGCAGCCCAGGCTGGCTTCCAGCTCAGTATATAGAGGCTGGCTTTGAACTTCTGACCATCCTGCCCCAACTTCCAAGTCCTGAGATTGCAGAGATCCCAGGACACCATGGGCCACTTCCAGTATTAATAGGGACAGTGTTGTAAGCCTCCTCACACTCCAAATTCAGAATTCACAGATGCTGCTTAGCGGAGGAGCCATTTACGTAAATCATCATTGTTAGGGATGATTGTGGTTACTCAAGTGTCCATATCCTTCTTTCATTCCTCTCCCCTCCCGTCCTCTCCCCTTTTGCCTTTTCTTATCTCTCCTTTTCTTTTTTTGTTTTTCTTTGTCTCAGGTTATGTGAAGCTGAACTCACCCACGTCTATTAATTTTAATTAACAATGACCTGGTAAGAAGGCTCCATGGACAATGTGTATGTTTGCATCCTGATAGATACTGGAGAAAAATCGCCGTGGTCACTTGAGAGGAATGAAACTGAGTATAAATAAGTTAATTATCTGTTTGTTTGCATTGCGTTTATGCTGAGTCTGTGGCCAGTCAATGTGATGGCGTCTCCCACTGGCCTCCCCAGCAGCAAACCACACAGGTTCTCTGAGAGCCTGATAAACTTTGGGGAGATGTGAAATCACTGCCTCTTGTAACCTCTGGGGACTCTTGGTAGAGGAGATACTGTGCCTTGGTGTCTCAGAACATGATTGTACATTTATTTAAGGAAATGTCAAAATTGTACCATTTGTGAACTTCATCAAGATTAAAACATATTTTGGATACATTTGTTTTGAGTCTGTGGTAGTCCATTTCAATTTGTCTTCCTATGTAATAATAATAATTATAGTAATAATAGTAATAAATACTTTTGAGTGTTTAGTATGATTCCAGTGTTCTAAGAAATTGTTATATACCTGTGAATTGACTTAGTCTTCATGGCCAAGCCGTAGGAAGATACCCACATTTGAGGAGACAAAGGCATGGAGAGGAGAGATTCAAGGTCACATCAATAAGCTGTGGAAGATCTGTGATGGGTTTCAGAGCACACAGTAGAAACCACCATGCTTTATGTTATTAACAAAGTCTTCTGACATTTTCCAGAGATCTGTGAACCATCTTTTGGCCTTCCTGCCTGACATGATAGGCCCTTACATTTTGGAGACACATAAAAAATTTAAGCATATAATGTTCTAGTCCTTATACAGTATAATGCAGTCTTTGTACTCCTCACTTGGTTTCAAGAAAAATCAAAAGTAGTGTTGCTACATCTACAATCCATTTCTTCTTCTACCCAATGTATTACTGTATCAGTTTATCTATAAGGATTTTACCATGTATTTTTAATGGGAAAGATGCTGAACATAACCAAGACCAATTTAACAAGGAAAATGAGTACATTTGTTATTTCTTAATTCTTTACTCTCACACATGCAGTAATGGTTTAACCTTCCCCAGCTCTTTATGCATCTATGTATAAAATCTTAGCTGATGTTGAGTCTTTGTATTGCTCTGGTTCGTACCTTAAGGCCCATTTGACATTGAGGTTCCTCTCTATCTGTTTACCTCTTGCAACTCATTGGCATGAGAGAGAGACTAGGTTACATGTGCAATAGTTTCCACCATTATTGTGGTGAGGGTAACATGCAGTTTCTGTGAATGGGCAAGCGGACCTAGAGTAAGTGATGAGGAAGAAGCTGATGAGTCCAGAGATGAAATGGGGTGACTGAACATGCAGGATTCCGTAGGGCTCATGACAGACTTTGGGGTTCTATCAGTCAAGTTCTAGCTGAAAAAAAAACAAATTACATTGGTCATTTTAACTGGAAATGTTTAATGTTTACTATAATAATGGCACACATAGCTGTTAGAGTACTGAAAAGACCAAAGAGAGTATGGAGTACAGTGGTTATCATCTATGGGCTAGATGAAGGAGAACTGAGAAGCTTGGAGAAGGATTCTTAAACCACCGAGAAGGGAAATTAGCAGACTCCAGTATCTCTTGGCTGGGTGCTGGGGTGATGTAATGTGATGGCCCACAGAAGCTTCCTAGTGAGACCTTACTCAGGGTCAGAGAATTTGAGCTTGCTTTACCCGGCAGGGCTGCATAAGGAGATGATTTGGCCATGGGTGGTACGTTTACCAGGTGTTTGAAAGGGTCTGCATTTGGCTATATGGTGTGCTTTGATCTTGCAAGGGGGAGGTCTTTTGCCTCTCCCCTTGGCATATTATAAAAAGCCCTTTTGAATAAAGCTCTGGGTGGCTGGGTATTGATCCAGTGCCCTCCCGAAGCTATCCCGTGTCTCTGTCTTTCTTATCGTCTCTTTCTATCATTTCCTCATTCCTCTCTCCTCTACCCAAGAACCCTTTGATGCGTGGGAGCAAGTCAGAGCTGGTCTCCCACAGACTCCCACAATGTAAGGCTGTTTTAAGGGTACAAATGCAGATATCCCATAAGTGGGCAGGGGAGGAGGTGCATCCAGAATGTTCTAGGAATTCAGAAAAACTAAACTAAGCTAGGGATTGGAAACAACTTGGCTGTCAGAGTAAATCAGTGTGTGAGTGATGCTGACAGAAACAGAAATTGAAATTAGAAGGAGCCAGATCAGATCCTTCTTGGTTTTGGCTTCTGATGTCCTTTTAGGAACTCCAAGTAAGAGAGTCTAAAGGGGTCTAACTGGCAAAAGAAAATGTATCTGGCAGAGTCCCAGCCCCAGGATCTCATTTCAGATATGTGATTTTATATTTACATATTGAAAAGTTCATTCATTTTGGTGTGTAGTTCTGGGAGCAAATCATTGAGCCATGAAGTCAGCACAATGAGGACATAAAGCAATTACATCACTCACCAAAGCCTCCTGCTTCCCTCTGCACTCAGTTGCTTCCTCAACCACAGTCTCTGCTGATCCATCTCTATGGACTTGACTCCTCCAGAATGTCGTCTGTATTAGAATTTTCTCATTGGGACCGCCAGCCCACAAATAATGACATGGAGACCTATTATTAATTATGAAAGCTTGGCTTTAGCTTAGGCTTTTCTCCACCTAGTTCTTATAACTTAAACGAACCTGTTCCTATTAATCTGTGTTCTGCTACAAGGCTCAGTTATCTCTCCTCTGTACCATATGACCATCTTCTTCAGTGTCTCCCTGACATCTTTCTCAAGCTGTGTAGCTTCATCCTGAGTTCATCTCTCTCCTCAGAAGTCCCACCTACTCTCTCTTGCCAAGCTATTGGTCATTCATCTCTTTATTAAACTAATCAGAAGGTGCCTTAGGCAGAGACACATCTTTATAGTGTACACAAATATTCCATAACAGTCATCAATGCAATTAGTATGAAGTCTTGAGTCTGAATTCTTTTCCTTCACAGAATACATTTGAGATTTTTCCATGTCATGACATACATATCACTAGTTTACTTTTTGAATTGTGAAGTGTAAAACACTGTAGAGATGAACCCCAATCCATGTATGTTGTCCCACTGAATGGCACTTGGGATGTTTCTACCTTTTGACACTTGTGAGTAGAGGTATGGTAAATATTCATGGACAAATTTTAATGTGGTGATAAATAATACAAGCTCAATGAGGATCCTGTAAAGACATGCCCATATTTTAATTATTAGAATTGATGAAATGTTACTTTATTTAGAAAAAGGTCTTTGCAGGTGCTGTTAAGGATCCTAAAACAGGATTATTTTGGATTGTTCAGGAAATTATGTCCTATGTGTCCTTATAAGTGAAGAAGACACACAGAAGATGACATGAAGGAAGAGACAGAGAGGGGCAAACCAAGGAAGTGAAGGAAGCAAAAGAGCCTGAGACCGTTGTTAGTGGTACCTGGGAGAGTCCAGGAGCTACTCTCCCGAGTCCCTAGATTGGGGGACAGACCTTCCTGGTACCTACATCCTTGGACCTTTGGCCTCTAGAACTGAAATAGAATGAATTGCTGTTGTTTTTTAGTTACTAACTTTGTGGCAATTTGTTATGGCAGTCCCAGGAAAAGAATACAATGCATTGATTTATCTGGGGTAAATACATGGCAGTGGGATTGCCAGATTGTTTGGTGAGAATGTATTTAACTTAATAAGACAATCCCAAATTGTCATTATTCTCAACAGCCACACATGGAGGCCCCAGTATTTCAAGAATAGTTGTGTATATCACCATGGGTTTCATTTGAATTTCACTCATCACTGAAGTGTTGTCTGTTCCTGTGCTTCCTTGATGTTTGTTTATCTCTTTTGTTGGAGTGTCTCTTCAAGCACTAAAGTTCTAGTTGGTGATTTGCTTTACTGTTGTTGAACTTCAAAAGTACTTTATATATAAAGTTATATAGATGCGGGATTTTTGTAAGATACATAATTACAAAAATTTTCCCCTAAGTTTTGAATTAATTTTTCCTTGTCTTAGTATATTTCATAGAGGAAAAGTTTTTATATTTTTGTAAAGTCCAATTTATTGAGATTTTTTTAAATTTATAAATTTTACTCGAGTTCATATCTAAGCACTCTTTGCCTAACCCAAAGTCATGATAGCGTTGTAGTTTCTCATAAGAACATACAATTTTATGTTTCACATTTAGGTCTATGATTCATTTAGGTCTATGATTCAGTTAGGTCTACATTATTAGTTTTAGTATAGGATGGGAGGTAGAGGTTGAGATTCCCTTACCTTGTGGATGTCCGGTTGTTCTGGGGTTGTTTGCTAACAACAGTGACTGTCTCACCTCTCCCTGTCTTTGTCCCTTGTTGTGTTTGTGAAGTTGTGTCGCTGGATTCCCAGTTTGGGCTCCTTGATATTTGGCCACCATTTTGTCATCACCACCACCATCATCATCCTGCAGGATTAGAGCTAGAACGCAAGTCAGGCACCTGGGTTTATTCAACACTGACAACACTTTCCAAAATTATATTGGCTATTTTAGATCATTCCTCTTTCCTGACACATCCTGGAGTCAGCTTGTAGGTCTCTACAACACTTCTGGGGAGAATTTGATTGTGAGTTCTGTTAGATTAGAAGCTCAGTGTAAGGAGGACCAGCTTAAGTCGACTGACTCACAAGCACCTCAGAATTCCAGCTACTTAGGGTTTTGATTTCTTCCATTAATAACTTCTTATTTTTGGCATGAAGATCTTATTAGATTTGTAATTGTATTTTTGGTGCTAAAGAAGTGATACTTAGATTTCTCTAAGTTTCTAGGTCTTCATGGCTAGTGTAAGACATTATGAAAGACTGATCCTGAGTTCTGACTGTGCAAAGCTCATGTACGCATTACACTAGTTCTGTAGTTTCTTTGACATTTTTTTCTACACTTGATCCTAGCCAAGATGTGATACACTCCTCTGAGGATTTTCTGTGTACACACATTTTCTGCTCATTGAGTCAATTCTATTTTATTTTTTTCTTTTAAGCTGACCTTCCTCTTTTTGGGTCTCAAACCCAAGACAAACGGCTAAGGTGCCCACTTAACTTGTTGGACCTGGCCACCCTGTTCTCCCAGCTTTCCTCAGTCCCTACCTCTTTCCTCCTGGCTAGCATACCCTGCCCCCTATCCTCAACTTCTTTAGCGGAGCTAATGCGCTGGGCTCCCCCCTTCTTCCCCCCAGCTGCCCTTCCCTATATAATCCAACCATTTTGGTTACCTGGCCCTTTTGTCTACTCTTTACCTTCCTGGGCTCTCCCTTACCCCCTTTCCTCACATGGCTCAGTCTGGTTGTGTCCACTCTGGACTCTCCCAGCTGTCCAGCCTCCTGCTATGCTCT